AATGGGAGTAATAGTGTATATCTATATAATGGATCAATCTTTGCGACAATAGTTAGTATATAGTTTTGGACGGAAAAATATTTTCTATCTATTTTTAGCATATAATAATCTTTATCTATTAGCAAATTTTATGTATGAACATTAATTATATTTTATTTATTCAGTGGCAAATATTCAATAGTTATAAATTAGATTAAATAGAATATTTGTTAATTATATATATATATATATATATTATCAATAAGATCGTAATATTAATTTAGCATTAATTTGTTGACACAATTAAAAAATTTATTAACTATAAATATAGAAATTGGTTTAATCATTATCACCTCATCGTTGATAGATATTATTATTATTTTTAATTATGTTTACCCGAGAAGCACTCAAATTATATAACAAATAACTAGAATATTTTTGTTTGAATCATTTTAACTTAAGGAATAATTAAAATTACTAATAAAAATTGCTAAAATATGATCAACGTAACCTTAAAAAAATACATCTCCATTGAATATATCATCTGTATTGGGACTACTATTGAAAAATAAAATTTAATATATTAATAAATTCATTATTAATGGTCAGGTGAAAATAAATTATAAGTTTCACATTAAATATACCTATATACATCAAAAAACGACTCATGTTGTAAGAAATGTATAATTTTATTATATGCGTAATAAAGAAAAAATGATTAACCATGATAATATAGTAATTAGCATAATTAAAATTATAACATTTAGTAATAACTGAAATTCATAATTTATCTAAATATTTAAATTGGATATTAGTAGACTCATTATATATGTTGAAAAAATGAATTAAAGAAATAAAAATAGACAAAAATTAAAAATTGAAAAAATTAAAGTTACTGCAATTAAAATATAAATTATCAAAAAATATCTAAAAATTTATAATAAAAGAAAATAAATTTATGGGTTAAACATTAGTTAGTTATCGAACAATATGCAAACTTTGAAATGTTAAAAAAGGTTATAAAAAATCAAGATAATCAGTAATTTTATAAGTACATGTAAGTAATTTGCATACAAACATCATATTTAAAATCTTAGATATTTATAATATTTATCAACTTTAAAATAGTAAAATTTATATATTAAATCACTACAAGAAAATGATAAAATTTCAATTGAAATACATTCCAATAGAATTCCAACGGCAATTCCAATGGATATTCCAATTTTAATATTTTCGTTGAAAATTTTCAATGAATTCCAACAGAAAATCTAACAAAAATATTTCGTTGGAAAGGGTTTTCCATTGAAATTTCTGTTAGACTTTAACGATTTATACGGTATATTTTCCAATATGGTAAAGTAATGATTCCAACGGAAATTACGGCAAAAAAATTGTCTGCTGCAGTAGGATCGATCACCTTTTTTACTTTTTACTTCACTATCTCTGTCTTGTTTGAACTTGTACTTTCATGGCAGTGGCATAGGAGTATTAATGAATTCAAAATCAAGGCATTATTATATATATATGAAATAAATAATGCTGAAATTTGGAAATAAATATATATAAATTCTGCAACAGTCGAGTTTTTTTGGTTCTTCTCATAAAATTTCTAATTATCAAATATGGGACAATCTTCTTGAAATAACAATAAAACCCTAGTTGATTCAGGGTTACTGCTCGTAGATCAGTACAGTTAACCATCTATATTATATATAGAGAAAAAGGGCCTCCAATTTTTCTGCAAAAACATTAAAAAAATATTTGTTAATAACTACTGAAATATATATGTATATATATATATATATAGTAGACAAAAAATGAAAAAAA